GAGGGGCTTGAGGCTGGAGTCTCGGAGCTGGGCCCGGAGGTCAGGGCGTTCGTGCTGTGGGTGACGGCAGGAACCCCTGTGGGTCTGGGTGGCAGGGCCTGGCCCATGTGCTGTCCCGGGCGTCCAGCCTCCGGGCTGCTGTGCTGAGTGCCGCCACCCTCCATCAGGACCAGAGGCCTCAGGGGCTCCCCAGGCCCTCAGCTTCCCACCTTTCCGTGCTCCTGCTGACTCAGTCCTGCCTTGGAGCTGACCAAGACCCCCCCTTGGAGGCCCCCTCTGACCTGTGGGGTTGCGAGGTCACGGCATCTGACCTTCACTCAGCAGAGGGTCCTGCGGGCCTATGGCAGTCTGGTCCCGCCTGCCCCTCAGCTCTCCTCTGGGCCCTGCACCCCATCATGCCAGAGGGCTGGGCTGGGCGGTGCCTGGGGACCCCTGGTCTCCACAAAGCACCTGTTGGTGTCCAGAGCCTAGAGCCACTTCCTGTGGGTCAGGGGGCGGGACGAAGATGACCACTCCTTGGCTACTGTGCCCACGGCCCTCTCCCCTTCTTGGGCTCTGGGTGGGCCAGGACCACCTGGGCTGCCGGGTAGCGCTGCAGCCACTGGGGGTCTGTCTGCAGACACCAGCCTCCTGCCCCATCGCTGAGGCCCCGGGCTCTTGGGGCGCATGGGAGGCAGCCAGGGTCTCTGCCTACCCTCCCTGAGGGCCAGGCTGACCTCTGGCGCCTTCTTGGTGGGGCCTGAGATTTGAGGCCAGGGCCACTGGCCGGGGCAAGGGCAGGGTGACCTCAGAGGAGCTGAAATTTCAGCTGGAGCCATCCGAGCCGCAAGTTGACACTCGGCTGGCGGCCGTGGGGCGGCCGTGCTCCTCAGGGCTGGGGGGACAGGTCTCGATGGCCTCTGCAGGTCGGTGGCACCCGAGACCTGACCTGCGGGGCTTACGGCTCTTCCCAGCCACCCCGCCAACCCTGCTTCAGGCCCCCTGTGGTCCGGGGGGGACCCTGAGCTCAGCCCCGGTCCTGGCCAGGCCAGCTCTCTCGGTCAGGGCGGTAGGGCTGTGGGTGCTCCCCGCCCCCTCTTGCGCTCCCCCTATTCTCCACTGCCCCAAACCCTAAGGCCCATGGTTCGCACCACAGCCTCCTGCCAGGCCACTTCTCCCTCTCGTAGGCGGGCAGGGGAGGCAGCCCTTCCAGACGGGGTGGGGGATCCCAGAAGCTCCTGCCAGCTCCCCTCTCAGGTTTCAGTTCCGGGGGTCCTTGGGGGAGTGTCTGGGTGCTGGCTCGCGGCTGGCCTGCCCTCGGCTGGCCCCTCCTGACCTCCTCCATGCCTCTCCTTGAGCTCCTGGCCCACTGCAGGCCCCCGCGTCCCTCACCCCTCCCCTCCATTGGACTGCCCAGCGGGCTGGGCCGTGTCCTCTCTGTCCACCTGGACACAGGGCCTGATGGCCCTGGAGAGCCTTGCAGGCACTGCAGTCTGGGGGCTCCCCCTGGCACACGGGGTTGGCATTTCCTGCCGCCACCCCCGCTTGCCAGGCACCAGCCGGAAGGGAGTTGGTGGGGGTTCCCCGGCTTCCTGCTGAGGGGTCCGGGCACAGGAGCCTGTGTGCAGCTGAGGAATCTGGGTGGGTGGGGGTGTCCCCGTGTCGCCACGCAACCTCGGGGCCACTTGCTGGGCGGTGAGTGTCCGGGGCCCGGGGGCTGTGGCTTCGGCTGGCTTCTGCTCTGACAGGAGCTCGCTCCTCAAGTGAGTGGCCTGGCAGTGCCGGTCACCTCGAGAGCGTGCTTTAGTTTGACTTTTCTGGATAGAACCTTTAACCCGCTCACTCGGGGCCCAGTGAGCTCCCCCCACCCAACCCGCTCTGGGTCCCGGGCCTTCCGGGTTCCCGCCTCTGCTCCTCGGCTTCTGTTCCCAGTGTCCTGGGACCTGCACCATGGGGTCAGTTGTGTGGCCTGAAAAGCTTTTGGTGCCAAGGGAGAGATCTGTCTGCCACCTCTTCCAGGCAGCCTTCCTGGACTGAATCTGGCAGCCCAGCCAGGTCCCGTTGTCCACGATGAGGCTGCTGGCCGCCCTTGCTCTTGGACAGGGTCTGTTTCCTTCTGGAGCTCTGCAGGCAGGGCCTCCTTCCCCAGATTTTCATCCGTCGCTGATGCTCCCCAAAGAGATGTGAGGTGTGTGAGGTATTGGGTTTGGGGCTGGGGGTTCCAGGTCCTGAGGGTCTGCTCTCCTCCAGAGCCCCACTTTGCCCCTCTGGTGGGAGGGCCTGGGTCTGGGTGCCCGCAGCCTGCAGCCCTGCCCCCTCCCGCCCAGCTGCAGAACCAGGATCAGATAAGCAAGTGGTGACAAGGCCCTGCAAGTCCAAAGTATGCCTTCAGCACAGCCATATCTCTGCGGCCTTATCGGTGGGCGGGCGGGGCGGCTGCTCGTGCTGGAGCGGCTCCTGCCTACCAGGTGTGAAGGCACCTTTTGCCTTTTCTTTTCAACATTCCTGGCCAGAAAGTGTCCTCAGAAGGCTCCAGAAAGCACTTCCAGCCCATTGTCACCCCGTCTCCGGGAAAGTGTCTGCTGTGGGTGTTCTGTGTAAACAGGAAGCGCTGAGGGGCCGGGTGGGGTGCTGGGGGCTGCTGCGGCGTGGACAGGGCACATGGCCCCTGGCTTCTCGGGCTCACTGCCGGCACTGGGCTGCCCACAGGCTGGCAGGCAGGGTGCAGGGCCGCGTCCTCCCGAGGGAGCCGACCCGCCTTCCCGCGGGGGTGATGGCACCCAGAGAACGAGGGCTGGGGTCTCCTTCGCTGCCGTCTCTCCCTGCGCTGCAGAGCCCCCGCCACGCGTCTTGCCGCCCTTGCCCTGTGTCCTCCTCCACCTCGGTGCTCGCCATTCCTCACGGTTCTTGGGCTTGGGCTGAGTGCAGGCAGTGCCTTGGGGGGCTGGGGAGCGTGGGGTGTCGCCTGGCAGCTGGCAGTCAGACAGGCTGCCTCCCTCCCGCCTTCTTCCTGCCAGGCTCTCCCTGCCTCTCCTCCCCTTCCTGCCAGGAGCGCAGCAAACAAACAAACACCCAGAGGAGCGCTGGGCGTCCTCCCGTGGCCCTCCCCCAGCTCCCGCCAGGTGTGGTCAGCTCTTGAGAGCCACGGGAGAAGCCCCCAGACCCCTTCTCCTCTCGAGAGCCCCCCAGCCCAGCAAGGATTCCCGGAAGAAAAGGGAGTGGAGGTGGGGACCAGGGCGACTTGGGACTGAAAATGCCCATCTCGGCCTCGGAGGCTGGGAAAGTGGGGCGATGCCCCGATGGATACCCCCGGCACTGGGGCCGCCCCGCTGCCTCCCCGCCCCCGAGGTCACCCTGTCTCTGGTGGGGACTCTGAGGGCTGCTTGTGTCCCTCGCCCTCCCTCTTGAGGTCTCTGGATGGTGTGGAAGGGAGGCGTTTTGCAGAAACGGAAGCAGGCTTGGTCAGGGACGGAGCCAGCTCTGCCGTCCTCGGGTGGCGGGGTGATGGGCTGGCCCACGATGCTCCATGTGTCCCGGCGGTGCCCAGAGGCAGCTGCAGTTTCTGGGGGCACACTTTGGGGCAGCGTGCCCTCTCTGCTTTGGTTCCCTTCCTGTGGAGGTGGGCGGACAGTCAAGTGCTTGAGACTGGGGTGCAGCAGCCTCGTGTCTTTGCTGCCTCTCTCCCCTCCTGGGGTCCCTGGCCACTCCCCTGGCCCCTGCTGCGTCCAGGACTTAGGGACCATAGGGCTGGTGTGCAGTACCGATCTTTGCCAATAGGTGCCGCTGCCACCTGGCTGTGCAGTCCTCCAGATCTTAAGTCCAGCGAGTGGTCTCGTCCCCATTTTGTGGGTGGTGAGGGCCTGGAGGGTACCGGGGGCCCCGTGCACTCAGGCCTTCCCAGGGCGGCTGGCCAGCTCAGCTGCCCAGCTGGAATGTGGGATTCTAGGGCTCCTTCCTGGTCATCTGCTGTGGGGGGATGTGAGACAGTTGGCACAGGTGACCGCAGGTGACAAGTGCCCATGAGAGGACTTCAGCGTCTTCCTGCCCCAGCTCACAAGGCGCTCAGGGCAAGAGCTGAGGGGTGTGCCTGGGCGTGACCCTCAGTCTAGAGCGTGGTCCCCAAGACCTTGCAAGTGAGGTGTTGTGGTGGGCCGGGACAGGAAGGCCCGGGAGGCCATGTCACAGGCGGGGAGGGTGGTGTGGGGCTTGCGGCCACCGCTCCCTGGGCACCTCCGTGTGGTCTGCTCAGGCCCGTGGCAGTGGAATCGCACCTGAGCGCCGCCCTCCCGGGAAGCTTCTGCCTGCTGAGCCTCGGGGTGGGGTGGGGAGGCCTAATGAGCGTTGCTGGGGCTTTGAAACCCCCGAGATGAAAGGCGGGTGTGTGGGAGGTCCCGGCCTCTCCCAGCCTCTGCATGCTGCCTAGCCGGCACACGCTGCCCCCCCGCAGGGCCCCCGGAAGCGCCCTGCCCCAGCCAGGCCCCCTCACGAGCCCAGAGTCAAAGTGGGGACTGGGGGTCTGCTGTCTTGCTCTGCCTCTCCGGTACCTGAGCCGGCCCAGCTGTGCGCGCCCCCCACACCCTCGCCAGTCCCGCCCCGCCCAGGCAGCTGTGAGCCGGGGCCCCGAACCATTGCCTCTGCGGCCGTCCGTGCCGAGGACGTGGTTTCTGGCGCATGGAGGCCTCCCTGGAGTCGGCTGCCGTGATTTTATGACCACCCCACACCTCCACCACGGCCCCGGGCAGCTGGGCCCTCACTCCCCGGTGGAGGGGCCTGTGTGCGGGGGCCCAGCGTCTGCCGCCCTCCTCTGGGTCACATCTTAGCGCCGCTGGCCGGACGGTCGGCCTGCCTTGCTGCGCCGGCCGTTGGAGCAGGGAGCAGGGCCAGGCCACGGTGGTGGTGCCTCGGAGGGGAACCCCAGGCGCCTGGGCCTGGCCCTCCACAGGGTGCTGTGGCTGGCAGGCGGGAGCGGGGGCATGGAGTCCCTGCGGAGCCCTGACACCCCTCTCTGCCCTCTCTTGCAGACTTCTCCACCCAGGTGAACTCCTCGTCCCTCAACTCCCCCTCCGGCCGGGGCTCCATGGCCGCCCCCTCGCTGCACCCCTCTCTGGGGCCCGGCCTCGGCGCCCCCCTGGGCTCCCCAGGACAGCTGCACTCGCCCATGAGCACGCTGAGCTCCCCCATCAACGGCATGGGCCCGCCTTTCTCGGTCATCAGCGCCCCCGTGGGCCCCCACTCCATGTCGGTGCCCACCACACCCACGCTGGGCTTTGGCACCGGCAGCCCCCAGGTAAGTGCCAGTGGCTGCGGCCCCCCTCGTGGCTGCCGCCCCCCTCGTGGCTGCCGCTGCCAGTGGGCTGGGCCGTGCTGACCTCACTCCTTTCCTCTCTGGGCCTCTGCCTCCGACAGGCAGCCCTCCTGGGAGTGCGCCCAGGGCTGGCTGGCTCCTGGGCCCGGGGCTGCCAAGCGCGTCGGCCAGCCTCCCCCAGTGGCCCTCCTGGGTGCGGACTCCCCCTTCCTCATGCCTGAGCTCTGTGTGCCCCCAGCTGCCCCTTCTTGGGCCCACCCTCACCCTCTGGGCTTTGCCAGGTGGCCTCAGTGTCCCTGGGCCCAGACCCTGCAGGGACGCCATGGCCAGTGCCATGCAGACCAATGCCCTGGGGCACAGGGGGCCAGGCCTCTGCCCTGCAGTGCTGGGCCTGGAGTCTCTAACACCTTGGTGCCGCCCTCCTCCCCCCACCCTCTGCCCTGGGCTGTGTCTGGCTCAGGAGGGCCAGGGCCTGGCTCCCCCTCCCCTGAGCACCTCAGGTCAGAAACCCATGGAGGTGCCCCGACTCCCAGGCACCCTAGGCTGTGAGGTTCGCCAGGCCAGGCTGCCCCCTCCTACCCCGTGGTTCCGGCGGGTCTCGCTAAAATGGCCTGAACCCCAGTAAGGGTCCTTCTCCCCAGGACACCAATGTCCCTCCTGAAATGGGTGGCTCTGCTGGCCACCCTGGCCTCCAGGTCTGGGCTGTCCCGCAAGAGGAGGGCCCCGAGGTGGAGGGTGTGAGCGCCATCTCCATGGGCCCCCGGTGCCCCCAGGGGGGACGGCGCTGGCCCGTGTCGCTGCCTGGCTCCCTGGAGCCCTTCTATCCTGGTCTCTCTCACTGGCCCTCCTGGGGCAGCTGGGGCAGCCCTCTGTGCTGCGGTGCATGGGAGCGTGGCCTGAGCTCGGACAGGCCTGCGTGCTCCTTCTCACATCACCAGGCCTCCAGAGGCAGGCAAAGGCCAGGCGCTGGCACCAGGGCAGCGTGGCCATGGTATTTTTAGCATGGCTGCCCGAACCCCATTCTTGCCGGCTGTAGCAAGCCATAGGGCGAGTGCCCCCGGCCCCGGAGCCAGGGCAGAGGTGGCCCCAGTGGGCCCCGATGGCCTTGGGCACTGTTAGCCTGGGAGTCGGGGCCAGTTGCGGGTCACAGGGTCCTGTCCTCTGTGCACAGTGAGCTCCTGGCCCATGGGGGTACTTGTGAGTGGGGGTCACAGGCCCCTGGGGCTCATGAGGGCGTCAGGGCACGCGTCGGGGCTTCAGGGGGCGGGGCTGCGGGTGGGGAGCACCCCGTGAGTCCCAGCTGTCTTGCTGCTCGGCCACTGCGTGTGTCTGGTGTCTCAGCCAGTTGGCGGGGGTGACTGCCCGGTCCGTGGCCTGCCTGCCCGCGTGCTGGGCCTCCCTGGAGCCCCGGCCCCCGCCCCCGCAGTTCCTTCCCCAGGAGCTCAGTTCAGTTTCTGGACTTCAGCAGTTTGTCTTGGAAACCTGGGGTTCCCCATATTCCTGGGAGTGTGGGTGGAGTTCGAGGGGGGCCTGCCCCCGCCCACTGCCCCAAAACCACAACCACGAAGTCGTAGCTGCCGGAACCAGCGAGGCCGTCTGACTTCTGCTCTGTGGGCGGCCTGGCGCTGGGACGCCGCCCGCAGAGCCCACGGCCAGAGAGCGGCCTTGGCCCTGTCCACCCGGCTGGCCTCGCTCGGCCGGGAAGCGGACCCCCAGGCCTGGCAGAGCCTGGCTGGAGGACCGTGCCCGAGACCCCCAGTGCAGGGCCCCGGGGACACGCTGGCGTGTCTGAGGCCGCCTGCCGCGGGGCCGCCATGTGAGCGCCTCGGCGTCTGAACCTGGCCCAGCCTCGCCTCCCGGTGTGGGGCCTCCCAGCCCCGGGGCCACCCGTGTGTCCGTGAGGAGGGACGCCCGTGGGAGGCGCTGCAGGGGGGCCCTCGAGGCCAAGGGTGTGCTCTCTGGGCACAGCGGCCCCTCGCAGGGCCTGGCCGTGTGGCTGGGCTCCCTCCCCGGGCTGGCAGCGGGGCCTGCGGGGCTCGGGAAGGAAGGGCAGGGTGGGGTGTAGCACGGGGTGCGGGAGCCCGGGTGGGGCCTTGGTGAGGTGGTGGCTATTTCGGCAAGTCCCGGAGGCTCTGGTGGGAACTGAAATAAATGCCGAGGATACAAAAGAGGAAATGGGAGGGGGCGCCCACCCCATGCCTCTCCCGGGCCTGCAGGGAGCCCTCAGCCCCCAGCGAGGGCCCATCAGACCTGGTCTCCCTGGAGACGGCGTGTGCAGGCGGGGCTGTGGGCCCCTAGAGGGAGGCAGCCGGTGGAGGGTCCCCCCGTGCTTAGTTCCGGGAGCCGTGAACCTGGGCACTGGGAAACTGCGGTGGTGGCCGTGCCGGGACATCTGAGGGGCACGGAGCAGAGGGGTGCCCTGGCCAGCGGCGAGGGTGGGGCTGCAGCCCAGCCTGCATCTTCCCACACTGCAGGGCCCCCCGGGCTTCCCAGAGCTCCCCGCTGACCGCTGTGTCCTGGGAATCTGTGCGCGAGGCCTGGAGGGCACGGGTGGCTGCCCGCCTGCCTGCAGCCCCCATGGGCCTCTGAGCACCTGCTCCGGGCTATGGCCTCAGTTTACCTAGGCCAGGTACCAGTTGCCAGGGCCTGCACTTGGGCCACTGGGGGCAGGACAGGCGGCCCCGCCCGCACCTAGTGGGGGGCCACCCGAGAGGAAGTGCTAAAGAGGAAATGTCCGAGCCCTCTCCCTGGCGCTGCCAGGTGGCCCGAGCGAGGCTCCTGCAGCTGGGCCCGTCTCGCCCACTCCCCCACCCGCCGCTGCACTGATTTCTGCCCCATCTTCCAACAGCCCCTTGGTCCCCCCAACTCCCAGGGTGGCTGCCCGGGAGGCCCCGCCCAGGAGGCCCGGTGCTCTCAGGCGGCACCGGCTCTGTCTGTGCTGCCCGCAGACGGGGCTCAGCCCCAGGGCTGGGGCGCTCCGCTGAGTCCTAGTGAGTGGAGGAGGCAGAGCTGGGTCCTGGGGTGCGTGCTGGCTGCCCTCCCACCCCTCTCGCCACACTGGCCCGCATGCTCTGCGGCAGGTGTGATGGGCAGGGTCACTGGGCAGTCCCTTGCCGTCAGGCCTGTTTCCTTCTGTAGCCCATGGGGTTGCCTCAGGACCCCGAGCCTCAGCGTCCCAGCTAGGAAGTGGAGAGCAGCGTCCCCAGAGTGCTGTGGGGTGCCCCACTGTGCGGAGCAGCCCGTGGGCTCCCACAGATCTGGGTAACTCCTGCACCCACAGACAGTGCACGGGGCTGACCCATGACAGGGTGCTGTGTGGACACTCTGTCGCCCCATCCCGGCCACTGTGTCCTGACCACCCCAGTGATGGGGGCTGGTCCCCTGCAGCCCCCTCGGGTTCTGGTATCCTCAGACACAGGCCCCCCCCCCCACCTCCCCACGGGCAGAGAAGGCCCTGGAAGTGGCCAGAGGCCAGAGCGGAAGAGCCACTGCAGGAGGAGCTGGTGAGGGAGGCTGTGGGGGTTTCTGCTCGGTCTCCTTGGGGCAGCAGGCTCTTCCCGTCCTGAGGGCTGGGGGTGGGAGTGGGGGCCTGCCGAGGGGGAGGGAGGCGCTCAGTGCTGCGGTTGGGACTGCAGGGCCAGCGCAGCTGCTGCGCCGTCCCACCGCGTCGTCCTCCGTCCTCCGCAGATTCCGCCTTTGTCAGCGGCTTTCAGAGGTGGAGGGGCTGGGGGAAGGGGTGGGCCCCCCCACCGGGGTCCTGGGCTCCCGCAGACAGGCTGGCTGGTGGGATGCGGTGGGAAGCTCCTCCGGGCCGGGTGACAGGAGAGCTGGGTGGACCCAGCGGAACCAAAACTGCTGTGTCATTGCGGCTGCGGCAGCTGTTGCCAGGGCGACGGTGAGTTCCCACGCTTCCTCCTGGCGCAGCAGAGGAGCAGCCCCGGCTGGTCGGGCAGAGGGATGTGGCCCCGGCCCCGCCCATCCCTCCTGCCTCGTGACCTGAGACCCCGACTCGGCCCATGGAGGCCCCTGCAATGTGGCCCGGTGGGCACCCTCACCCCACAGAACCCCCTCCGTGAGCAGACCTGAGCCCCGTCTGTGGGCTGGGGTCCCCAAGTGCCTGCCTCACGGGAGCGGTCACTTGCTCATGCCACCCTGCCCGGGGAGTGCCGGCCGGGCCAGGAGCCATATCACTTCTGTGGGCGAGGGTGGGGGCCAGAGCCCGGCTGTGGGGTCCTCTTCCCAGACCCAGGTTTGGCCGTGGGAGGGCGAGGCCCCAGGCTGGGCAGAGGGACTGGACCTGCGGCTCCCCAGGGTGGGCATGGTCCGCTGCGCCCCAGTGTGTCTTGTAGGATGGGGTGCAGCAGCCCTACCTGCTGCAGGCGCAGGCAGCCACCCACGGTGACCCCAGTGTCCCCCCCCAGCTCAGCTCCCCCATGAACCCCGTCAGCAGCAGCGAGGACATCAAGCCCCCGCTGGGCCTCAACGGCGTCCTCAAAGTCCCGGCCCACCCCTCAGGGAACATGGCGTCCTTCACCAAGCACATCTGTGCCATCTGCGGGGACCGCTCCTCAGGTAGGTGGCTGCCGGGGGCCCGGGCCTGCGGGGGGCGGGGGCCAGCGCTCACGCCCGCCCCCCGCAGGCAAGCACTACGGGGTGTACAGCTGCGAGGGCTGCAAGGGCTTCTTCAAGCGGACGGTGCGCAAGGACCTGACCTACACCTGCCGGGACAACAAGGACTGTCTGATCGACAAGCGGCAGCGCAACCGCTGCCAGTACTGCCGCTACCAGAAGTGCCTGGCCATGGGCATGAAGCGGGAAGGTGGGCGTGGGCCGGGCGCGGGTGGGAGGTGGGCGGGCCGGGGCAGTCGGGAGGTGGGCCCGGGCATGGGTGCGGGCCGGAAGTGGGTGTTGGCCGGGCGCAGGCGGGAGGTGGGCGGGCGCCCCAGGGAGCCCCTCATCCCCAGCACCAGGTCCAGCCTGCCCACGGCAGCTGTGTGCCCTCCGGTGCTTTGCCCGCTTCCAGTGCCGGGTGCCCGCCCCTGCAGAGATGGCAGTCGCGTCCTGTGCCCCAGGTCCCTGAGGCTGTGGTGTGGGAGGCCCCGGGCAGGGCTCTCGAGGCCACGCGGCCCAACTGGGCTGCTGCTGAGGACGGTTCCTGACTTCTCTCTTGAGGCTGACGGGCCCCCCTGGAGCCAGGCGGAATGCCCACCCCTGCCCCAGCCAGGCGTGGTCTCAGCAGATTTGACTAAGCGTGTGCCGCACACCACGCTCTGGGGCAGTGGCGGGCCCAGCGCAGGGGGCCCAGGGTGAGCTGGGGGCCGGGCTGACATGAGGTTGGCGTGGCTGGAGCCCGGCAGAGCCCGCCCTGGGGTGCTAGGGTTTGTCCCCACTGTCCAGCGCCGTCCACGAGGGTTGGCAAGGGTGCCCGTCCTTGCCTCCCTGTACGCCGTTTCCTTCCGCCCCAAGAGGAGCCTAGACACCTCCGGCCACGTCAGGCCGTGCACAGCAGTGCTTGAGGCACAGGCCTTGGCCTTGGCGACTAGGCCCTGTGACAGCCGGTGGCCCGGAAGGTCACCCCAAGGTGGCTGAGATTCTCCAGCTGTCCAGCGTCCCTGGGCCGAGCTCGTGGCCCCTACTTGAGCGTGACGTCCTCCCAGCCCCTGCCGTCTGTGCCTGTCTCCCCCACCTGCACACTCCCGCCTTCACCCCGCGTGGACAGACCCTGCCTCCTGGGTCACCCCATACTCTGCTCCTTCCCAGGACCCCACGTGTCTAGTGTGTACACCGCTCCCTCTGGCGATGATGGGGTCCCTGTGCTGGGGCCCCTCCAAGGACCACCCTCTGCAGCCGCAGCTTCACCCCCACTCACTGCCCCGCACTGCCTCTGCCCACTGGTTCTTGTTGGGAAACCCAGGCCTCAGCTGAGACCAGGCCCTGGTAGGGAGGGGGAGCGCGGGGGGGCGGGGTAGGGGGCTCATGGTGGCCCGTCCAGCAGCTGGCGCCACGCCTGGCAGAGGCCGGTGGGTCTGGGGAACGTGCTCATCTTGGCGTTCTCGTGTGGTAGAGAAATCTGATGCTCGGGGCGATTTCCCGAGAGAGCGGCCTGGACCCTGATTTACGGGCTGTGAGACCCTGGCAGGACCCGCTGCCCTCCGCCGCCTCTGGGATTCCTGCTCGCGGACGGCGCGTGCCTCCTTCAGGGCACCCTGCCCCGCAGACGCCGCGTGAGACTGGACTCTCGGGCCGGTGGTGGGCAGAGCCGCAGCCAGGCATCAGCCTGGCTGGTGCAGCCCCTTCCCGCGGGAGGAGTGGCCATGGCCCCACTGCGGCCTGGGTGCGGGCCTTTCAGGTGCTCCCCGTAGAGGGAGTGCCCCTGCCCCTACGGATTAGCTGCCTGCAGCCCCTCCTCTCCCGCACTGCCAGGACCAGCCCCCGCGGAGGGTGGACTCAGGCAGCATGGCAGTGGGCGGTGGGGCCAGCTATGCCAGCCCAGGCTCCTGGGTGAGCTGCTCGCCCTCCTGGGAGTGGGAGCCGTGCCTGTGACTGGCTGGCGGGCCTCAGTGCCTGGTGCTGCTCCGCCCTCTGCCGGACTGATCACCGGACTGGGCAGCTGCTGACTCGGCGGGCGGCACCGCAGGCCGCGGGCTGGCCTGGGAGCCCAGGGGCGCGCTGGCTTGGGCGGGTGGGCCCACCTGCGCCGGGACGATAGCATCTGTGCTGGGCAGCGCGGGTGGCGTGCACAGGCCGCCATGGACTTGCTCCACAGCATTCCGGGAGGCCGGCCCGCCCAGGGGGAGATGCCGTGGCCCTCGCCAGGCTGCGCCCGGGCCTGTCCGCCAAGCCGCTGTGGCTGGGCTGGGCCCCCGGGCACTCGGTCTGATGGGGGGGGCAGGAACCATCTGGTGGGGAGACCCAGACCCCAGCGGGGCGACGCCGGCCCAGGCAGGAGGGCACCCTCTGCGTGTCTGCTTCCCTCCTCCCCCAGGAAGCTTTTCCCCACTTCCTTCCTGCTCCCTGGACCCCACATGCCCGTCTCACGACCGGAGGATGATGGTATGCGCGCGGGGGTGCCTGTGCAGCCTTGCGTGGCCCCGGTGCTCCTGTAGAGAGGTCCAGGCGCCACCTGCCGGCACTGGCACGTGACTGTCCCTGTTGCGCCTCGGTGTCCCTGTGTGTTCAGTGGGGCCCAGGGCTGGGTGCCCCCGAGGGCCTGGTGGAGGAAGGAGGCAGGGACAGCCCCGTGGCGCTGGTGGGGGTGGAGGGGGGAAGCCAGTGCGTGCTCATGTGACTGCATGTGTGTGACTGTGTGCACATGTGACCACGTGTGACTGCATGGATGTGACAGTGTGTGCGTGTGACCATGTACGTGTGTATGGCCGCATGAGTTCACATGTGTGCGGGGCTGTGTGCACGTGGGGCGGCCGTGTGCACACGTGGAGTTGTGTGCATGTGCGTGTGGACACGCGTGTGGCTGGTGAGCTGGGGTGTGTGCGCCCGTGTGGGTCACGCTGTGAGGGGGGGTGCAGGTGTGCGTACAGGGGTCTGTGTGTGCAGCGTATGTGTGAGTGTGTGTGCACACCTGGTCCTGGGTGGAGAGACAGCTCTGGAGAGGCCTTTGCTCAGGCGTGACGTGGACAGGACGCCGCCTCTGGGTCTCCCTCGCAGGCTTGGGAATAGGCGTTCGGGAAAGTCCAGCCTCATGCCCCAGGTCCTGCCCTGGGTTGCTCGTGGGGCAGGGGGCCCAGCTGGCTGGGCCATCGCTGCCCACGCCTGGCCACGTGTCTCCTGAGGAGGGGCCCGGTCATGCTGGGCGTTGCGGCCCCTCCTGGCAGGGGTCTTCCCAGCCTCCCTGGCAGCAGGCCCTCCTCCACCCCAGAGGGTGACGAGGCCTTCTCGGCGACGCCTCCCCAGGGCCCTCGGCAGCGGAACCTCAGGGAGACCACGCTGGTGGGCAGGGAGCCCCGTCCCTCTGCCTCGCCGCCGTCTGTGAACGGTCTTGTGACGCTCACAGTGACGCTGCGCTGTGCTGCCGGCCCTTCCCGGCGTCAGAGTGCTTCCCACGGTCCTCACAGGCAGGGCCGCGTGGGGGCGGGGGCAGGTGCCGAGGCTGCGAGCGTTTTCCGGGCTCTTCCTCGTGGACCCGCGGGCCGTCGGGTCTTACCCCCGTCCAGGACGGAGGAGACTGGGTGGAGGCTGGGACTCGCCCCACCCCACCCCCGCCCCCAGCTGGAGGGACAGGGCAGCCTCTGGGCACCCCGGCCGTCCGCCCCGAACCTGCTGTCCTGAGCTCAGCCACGCCCCTTGGGCACCCTGGACCTCTAGTTTCCCCACCTGGTAACAGGTGGTCGAGCCACACTGTGTCACTGAGCTGAGTCCAGAGGGCAGAGCTTGGGGGCCCCGTTGGGTCTCAGGTGCATGGACCCACTGGGGCTCGGAGTCCCTGCTGGCTGCCTCCCGGTGTGGCCTGTGGGCTGTGGCAGAGGCTGGCCAGGAGGGCAGAGCCCGCCTCCCGCAGTCCTCACCCAGCCCCACCCGCCACCAGGCTTCCCAGAAGAGCCGGCTTGCGGCAGGCACACGGGCCTCTGCCTGCGCCCGGCAGCTGTGTTGAGGGTGCTGCGTGGCCTCGCGTGCCTCGCCACATGGACAGGGAGGTGCTTCGGGCCTTGGGGGACGCAGGCATGCTGTCGGGGGCCCACAGCCCTCCCTGTGGTCCCGGTCCCGGGGGCAGCCCCTCTTGGCCCTGGCTTCTTCCTGTGCCAACTCTTCTGCTCTTCCAGGGGTTCCTAGTGCCCCCTAGGGAGGAGAGGGCACATGGGGGTCCTCTGGGGAGCTGCAGGTGCTGTGGGGCCGTGGGCAGAGTCCCAGCGGCTCTGCCTGTGTCATCTCGGGCCTGCTGGGTGACTGACTGAGGAAGGGGCCTGAGGTCCGTGGGTGCCCAACTGGGGCGCTGCCAGCCCTGGCCTCCTCGGGGGATTCCCTCTCTGCCGCCTCCCTGTCGCCTCCCCCCTCGATGCTAGAGCCCAGGCCACCCCCACCTGCCCTGCGCGCTTCCCCTCACCCCTGGTCCCTGCCCACGTGCTGGCCTGGACATCCGGCTCGTGACCAGGTTAGACCTCCAGCTTGTGCCCCCACCCCAACTGTGGTCCTTGCACAGCTGTCCAGGGCCCTAATGCCCCCCACGGCCCCCCATACGTACATCTCTGCTCGGGTGCTGGGCCTTTGCACGTGCTTCTCCTGGGCTTGGCCTGTCATCTCCATTTTACCTGCTGCCGTGGGCCCTCCACCTCTGAGAAGCCTTCCTGGCTTTGCTGAGTATAGGCCCCGTCAAGGCCCTTCCCACTTGGTGCTGGGATCCCTGCTGGGCTCAGCGCCCCAGAGCCCGGCCCTACCCGCTGGGGCCACTGGGCAGGTCCCGGTGCGCACATTAGTGGCGTGAATGAACGAGCGAACGAACGGGTGGAGGAGGTGCTCCGAGGCTGGGGCCGGGCGGCATGCTATGGGGGGCGCTGTCCGGCAGCTGGCCCTGGCGCCCTCGGCCACTAGCTGACCTGCCCCTGGCGCCCCAGCCGTGCAGGAGGAGCGGCAGCGAGGCAAGGACCGCAACGAGAACGAGGTGGAGTCCACCAGCAGCGCCAACGAGGACATGCCCGTGGAGAAGATTCTGGAGGCTGAGCTGGCCGTGGAGCCCAAGACCGAGACGTATGTGGAGGCCAACATGGGGTTGAACCCCAGCTCGGTGAGTGGCCCCCCAGCGGCAAGTGCCTGACTGCCTGGCCGGAGAGCCCATGGCCACGGCCCTGGGGCAGCAGCCGGGCCGGGGCGAGGTCAGGACCGGCGCGTGCCCTGTGCTTCCTGGTGTCTGGTCAGCGCCCAGCTGGCCTCGGGGTGCCCATGCCTGGCCCAGGTGTGTGCACAGCGTCCGTCTAGGTCTTACCTGCACCTCCTGTGCTGCTCCAGGCTGGAACCAGAGTCCTGGGCTGGCCCAGGGCCCTTGCGCCACCTGGCTGGTCACCCGCTTCTCCCTCCATGGTCCTCCCAACTCCCGGGGGCCCAGACACTGACCGCCCCTCTGTGCTGGACACACTAGCCTGTTCCTCCCCCAGCCCCAGGGCCTTTGCACGTGTTCCTCCTGCTGAGTCCTCCTCAGGCTCAGCCTCCTCCGCGGTGTCACTTCACAGGGGAGCCCTGTTGTCTTCTTGGCAGATCCGCCGACTCTGGCAGCCCTGCCTGGGGAGGGGTGTGGGCTTGGACCCAGAGGCAGGCACCTGGTGGACGGGCCCCGCTGTCCTCTCCAGGGTGGGGATGACCGCTTGCCCAGGTGCGAGGGGCAGCTCTTCAGATGTCCCAGGCCGGATACGGTCACTTCATCTGAGTGGGGGACTCAGCAGTGGAGCACCCCACAGAGGCCACACAGCGGGGAGCCCCCGGCCCCAGCCCTGCAGTTCTGCATAGGCACCTCACCCTGTCCTCAAGTCCCGTGTCCTGTCTGCCTGGTCCGTGTGCAGCTGGACGTGTGACCGGGTGTCCACCTGCGGCGTCCTCACCTGGCCTGCAGCGACTCCGGGTGATAGCTGTCCCGTCTGCTCTGGGCCCTGGGCCGGCTTTCGGGAGCACCGGCCGGGTAGCTTCTGGAATAGAGTTTTCTGTGTCTTGTGTACAAGCTCAGGCCCTCGAGGGTCTGTGATCTGAGCCCCCCATCTCAGCCAGGAGGTGCAAGGAGTGATTGGAGAGCCCTCTTCTGGCCAGAGCTTTCCAGAAGGGCCCCGTCTGTCGGTGTGCCTCGGCCTGCCCTCCTGCACCTTCCCCTCCAGGCCCTGCAGGCCAGGCGCCTGCTTCCGGGCGCCATGGGCACTGGAGCTTACCGGGTCACCGTGGAGGGGCCTCCTGTGCCTCACGAAAGACCCTGCCCTGCGGTCATGTCACCCCAGCTCTTGGGGGGACCCTGAGCCACAGGCAGGGCTCCCTCGGAGGTTCAGGGAGGAGCCCATCCTGGCTTCCAGGTCCCGGCTCCCCCTTCCCAGGCTGGGGCCCCTCCCCCAGCTTCCACCCCGCACCGGTGCCTGCAGCCCCCGCCCCGCCTCCCCAGCACGCCTCCCCCCTGCCGCGAAGCCCCCCGCACCCCAGGGCACCGTCGCGGGTTCGGGGTGAGGACAGGCATCTGGGGGTCCGTCCGGGGCGGGCTGTGCTCTCTGCTCACCTCGTCTCCCCCCAGCCCAACGACCCCGTCACCAACATCTGCCAGGCGGCGGACAAACAGCTCTTCACGCTGGTGGAGTGGGCCAAGCGCGTCCCGCACTTCTCGGAGCTGCCACTGGACGACCAGGTCATCCTGCTGCGGGCAGGTAAGTGCTGGCAGGGAGGCCGGGCGGACCTCCCTTGCCTCGCTTGGGGCGGGCTCCGAGTCCAGGTCCTTCTCTCTGCCCCCAGCTCTGGATGCCTGAGAAGCCGGGCTAGGTGGGCGCTGCCCAAGCGTCAGCCTTTGGGTCTGGGCCAGGGGCGCGCCTCCAGGATGGCGGCCAGGGTTTCTGGGGCAGGATGAGGCTCTGCTGGGGGCCAGGCTTCTGTCCAACCTTAGCGGGGGCTGGAGCATCGCGGCCCCGCAGGCCATCAGCCTGCACGTGCCCAGGCCCACCCCGCACAGCAGCCCTGGCTGACCCCAGCGGGACCCACGGTGGGTGAGGCCAGCCCAGCCCAGAGCCTGCGGCGCCTGGAGAGGGCAGTGGGCCCGAGGAAGGAGGCAGCTGGGTGAGCCCAGTGGGGCCAGCTCTGCCCCCGCGAGCTCCATCCTGGGCCCTTGCTCAGCTGGCAGGTGTCCCCTGGGGGCGAGGAGAGCTCTGCTCTGGCCAGGCGCGCACCCCAGAACTCTGGACCCCCCAGAGGGCTCTGTGCGACTTGGGCATCTCCTTACCCCCTGGGCCTCAGTTTCCCCTGCTTCGTGGGAGGCTAGTCGGGGTCGAGGGGGTTTCGGTGCAGACTGGCAGCGGTGCAGGCACGGGTTCTACGTGCCCGGAAGTCACCTCCCGCCTGCCTTCTCCTCTCGGCCTTCCGGGGCCTCGGACCGTGCTGGGCAGCTTGGATGCCCGTGTCCTGTCACCACCTTCCCTGGTGCCCGCGTGGCCGTGGCTCCCCCACCTGCAGGGCTCTTTGGGCATCACTGGGTGCCCCGCGGGTGCAGCGCCCCAAGTGCCCATCAGGCCTCTGTGTGGTGGTGAAAGGCATTTCCCAGATGCGTGCTCGGCCCTCTCCTCTGAGGTGCCCGGGGCTGGGGCTCCCGGGACCCACCTTGGTGACCCCGGCGTGGGTGCCATGGGGCAGGCGGGGGCCTGGAGACAGCAAGTGACCAGCACCCTCCCCGCCCCAGGCTGGAACGAGCTGCTCATCGCCTCCTTCTCGCACCGCTCCATCTCTGTGAAGGACGGCATCCTGCTGGCCACCGGGCTGCACGTGCACCGCAACAGCGCGCACAGCGCTGGGGTGGGCGCCATCTTCGACAGGTGGGGCTGCAGGCGTCGGCACAGGGGCCGGGCCGGGGAGCTGCCCGGGGGGTCTCCATGGCCCCCTCCACTCAGCTCCTTCCTTCGGGGTCCCCAACCCCGTGTGGAGGGCTGTCGGCACTTGCTGACAGCGCCCAGCTCTCCCTGGGCCGCTGCTCCCCTCTTCCGCCCTGGGGCGGCCGAGGGTGACTGTCCCCATCCCCGCCGTGCCCCCAAACAGCGGGCCGTGGCTGTCTCCCGCCCGTCCGGGGCCAGCCTGGTCTGGCCACCCTGAGGATCCCAGGCCTGGGCCTCCCGGGAGCCGTGAGTGGGAGGGGGTCCTGGGCCTGCGTGGAGGTGAGCGGACCCGTCAGCCACGGGCACAGATGGGGGGCCACACTGCCCTGTGGGGTGGATCAGCCCCGTACCCGGCCATGGTCCCGGGGCCCGCTGCTAGGGAGGAGCGTGAAGACAGCAGGTCCCGGGAAGGCCCAGCCCTTGCTGGCCCCCGACGTGCAGAGAACAGGGGGCGCCAGCGTCTCCCCTCCACTGCCCACAGCAGGAGCCCCGATGTGGTGGGCACCCGCGTGCCCTCCCTCCGGCCTGTCCTCCAGGCTCCCCACTCCCTCTGCCTGCAGACCCTCAGCTGCCCGGGGCCAAGGGAGCCGCTCCTGAGGGTGCAGGCCCAGGCCGTGGCTCTCCCCTTGCTTCCCCGTACCCACCCCGCCGCCGCTCCAGCTTTGGGCAGCAAGAGCAGGACACACGGGCGGGGCGGGGCCTCGGAGGGGCTTGGCCCTGGCTCTGCTGCACCGGCCCCCGTCGTCCGCGTGTCTCCCCGGCGCACACGCTCGGGGCGGGGAGCAGAGCAGAGCAGAGCAGCCCCCTCGGCTGGGCAGCACTGGCCTGGGGGGGCAGCGAGTCCAGTCCTCGCTGCCTCAGGCCCACCCGGCTGGGTCCCCCGGCCGCGGGCATCTGCGGGCCCTCCGTGCGGGCTTCGGCTGACCGGGGCGGGGCTGTCGCGCAGGGTGCTGACGGAGCTGGTGTCCAAGATGCGGGACATGCAGATGGACAAGACGGAGCTGGGCTGCCTGCGGGCCATCGTCCTCTTCAACCCCGGTACGGCCTTCCTGCTGCGGCCGCCACGCCCCGGCCCGCGCCCCCGCCTGCTGACGAGGAAGCGCCCGGCCAGTGAGGACGGGCCAGGCGGCTCCTGCGGCGTGGCCTCTGCGGGCAGCAGGCTCCCTGGGTGGGGGCGTCCTGAATGGCCGGCGGGGCCGCACCCCAGCCTGGTGCCACATCCGGGCTCCAGAGAGAGGGACTCTGCTCGCGGGCCAGCGCGAAGGCCTGGAGCCTGGGCGGTGCAGGAGCGTGCCAGGAGGCTCCCCCCTGCGGGGCCCAGGCTGGGTGCTGGCGGCACCCCTGCTCCCTGCACTCCCATTCCAGCCTCTGGCGTCTTTCCCAGAAAAGCCTCGAAGGTGTTTCTTCTTCACCCAACAAATGCAGAGGCAGAGCTTGCGTGCTGGGCACCCTGCCCAGCCTGGGGGGTCCACTAGGGAGCACCAGGTTAGGCCCGCTCAGCGCCTGGGTCTGCGGGCGAGGCCGCAGGCTGGTGTGGGAGAGCCTGGCCTTGGGGGAGGACCTCCTGGAGGCGTCGTGGTGGGAGAGGGCCTTGAGAGGGCCTGGCTTTATCTTGGGGCCACAGCAGTCCTGCGGGGGAGTGGGCAAGGGAGCTGGGGTGGGCGGGGGCAGAGGGGCCGTTTGGGACACGCTGGGCTTCTGAGGGGTGAAGTGTGTGCCGGGGGAACTGGGGAGGTGGGCCCAGGTTTGCACGAGCCCCTGCCTTCCAGCCCGAGCCTCTGCCTTCCAGCAGCTCCCAAGCTGAGGTGCCCAGCAGGGTGGTGTCACCACCCAGCTGCCGCCCAGGCTGGTGCTTGGGCCCATGATCCTACAGCAAAGGAGCCCTGGAGCCTTGGGTGCTGGCCCTGGCCCCCCGGGAATGGGCCTCCAGAGACAAGGGGTACATGGAGCTGGGGTATCTCGGAGCCTGGGGAGCCGGGCCGCAGGGGTGACCAGGTGACGCACTTGGCACATTCCTGCTGGTCGCTGTGTCCAGAGGGGAGGGCGGGCAGCAGGACACCCTGGCTCAGGGTCAAAGGTGACCTGGCCTCAGAACTGCCCCCTGAACCCCTTGGGCTGAGTGGCTGCTGGCCGGCTCTGCCCACACACGGGGTGGGCCACACTCGGCTGGGTCCAGACCCCGGGCCTTGTGACCCCAAGTGGGTGCAGGGCGGGGCTGCCAGGGACTTGCCCAGCGTGGGCCCCTGGGCTGGGGAGACCTGGAGTGCCCTTGTTCATCAGCCCCACCCCTGGTCCCTTGGTGACCCGGGTTCCAGGCATCTGTCCACAGGCCGAGCCCCTCCAGAATGGGCTCCTGCCCTTCCGCCGGCTCCCTCGGCGTGGTCTGGCTGCTTCCAGGGAGAGGGCTCAGAGGGGCTGAGACCCCGCCTGGTCCGCGAAGCCCGCTGCTTTGCCTCCCTGGGGCTGTGGTGGCCAGGAGGGCGCCGCAGGTGGCCACACAGGACGAGGCCGGTGTGTGAGGTCGTGTGGCCAGCAGGCGGCAGGACCAGGACCGGGGTGCAGGGTGGCCTCTTGGGGGCAGACCCCCCAGCACACTCCCCAGTGCGCGACTCTGACCAGCGGCTCCTTCTCCCTCCCAGACTCCAAGGGGCTGTCCAACCCTGCCGAGGTGGAGGCGCTGCGGGAGAAGGTCTACGCGTCCCTGGAGGCCTACTGCAAACACAAGTACCCCGAGCAGCCGGGCAGGTGAGCCTGGGGCTGCCTCCTGGGCACTGCCCGTCCCCCCCAACCCCTGGCACGGCAGGGACAATCCCGGGAGAGCAGCCTGGAAGCCCCTGCTGCAGCTGCCCTGAGCGGGGGGGTTGGGGGGGTGCCCCCACACCTCCCCGGGCTCTCCAGCGGGTGGGCTCAGCTCCAGCGCTGGCACACAGTAGGCGCTTGTCTGCAGAGACTGATGGCGTGCCCCATCCCTGCCCCTGCAGAGGGCAGCCCTCCACGCAGTCCTAGCCACCTGGACGCCGGCACGCAGTGGGTGCTTTATAGACATGTGCTGGCTGTGCAGAGATTGCCTCTCGCCCCCCCAGTTCTGGGCCCCAGAAGGGCCTCATCCTGGGCGCCCGGCAGGTGGCCAGAGGAGGGGACCACGCCGGCTCAGTGGCGTTTCAAGTCGGGCCTGGATTCTGTTCGCTTCCTCCCAGAGGGCCTCTCCCGGGGGGAGTGGATGGGCCCCCAGGCCCCCAGGCCCAGCACGCACACGGTTAACTGGTTACTCTCCCGCTCCCGGCCCCCATCTGGTTTGGTTTAGGGGAGGGGGGCCACTTGTTTTTCCTGGCTTCCTGCCGCCCCCATCTCGCCAGCTCAGCAGAAAACCGTGTTCTCTGGCCCCGCTCCAGCCAACCGCGGGGCTTCCCCTGAAATAAAGACATTGTTAATAATTAATGAGGCCCCGCAGTGGGTGGAGGCCCCCGGCAGCGTGTGGCTGGGGCAGCGCAGATGTGGGGGCTCCGGGACAGCCGGCCCCCACCCGCACCTTCCTCACGCAGCCCGGTGGCTGCGCCTGGGGTCCTCCAGAGCCCCCAGGCCTCTCTCTCCCCCCCCACCCAGTCCCCTGCCCAGAAACTCCCGGAGTGGAGGGCAGGGACCGAGGAGCCCCCGTCCCTCCCTCCCGCCCGCCCTGGACCCCAGAGCCTGTGACCCACCGGGGAGCTGTCTCTGGGGAGGTGTGGGCGCTGGCTCGGGGCCTGTGCAGCGGCCCTGCCCCTCTACTGGGGCGGCCCCGGGGCGCCTTTGCCTTCTGACTGAGGCAGGGGCGCTGCAGGACCCGCTCTCCCCAACTCAGTCTGCAGTGGCCGCTCCTGGCCACGGGGTTCTCAGGCTGCGCCCCCCAGTCCGCTATCTCAGCGGACCCCCCATCCAGGGGCAGCTTTCGGGGACTGTGACACCCGCCTGCCTCCGGGTGTCCTGTCTGCTGCTCTGCGGGAGGCTCAGCTCAGGAGGGGGTGCGAGGGCGCACGCCCCGGGGTGGGGGCGGGGGCGGGGGGGCGCCGGCGTGTAGTCCCCAAAACTAGGGGGCGGGGGCCCCAGGGTGTAGTCCCCAGAACTCGGGTCAGGGCGGGGGCAGCGTGTCCTCACGAGAGCCCCCCACAGGTTCGCCAAGCTGCTGCTGCGCCTGCCGGCCCTGCGCTCCATCGGCCTCAAGTGCCTGGAGCACCTGTTCTTCTTCAAGCTCATCGGGGACACGCCCATCGACACCTTCCTCATGGAGATGCTGGAGGCCCCCCACCAGATGACTTAGGCGGGTCCCTCGCACCTGCGCCCCGCCGCTCAGCGTGCTCAGTGGGGCCCGCCGCCCCGCAGGGCTTGCAGGGACCCGGGGGCGCAGCCTACGCCGCTCGGCCGCCACGGCCACCCCCACCACCGCCGCCAGCGGGGGCATGGCTTTCCGGGCAGCCGCTGGAGAGGGCGGAACTGGCGGCCGCGGCTCGTCTCCGCGCAGACGGGAAGGCGGCCTGTTCCGGTCGCGAGTCTTATCTCTGTCTCGGGGCTCCCCCGCGAGGCCGGCTCCTGTGTGGAGGGACCCAGCTTTACCTCCGCTCAGGGCCGCGGCCACCCGGCACCAGGCGGGCGCCGAGCGGGGCCGGCAGGACACCCGTCCCCAGAAGACCAGAGGCCCCCTGGGCCAGGGCTCTCCTGCCCCCATGTGGAGGGCGGGCGCCCCTCTTTCCAAAGATGACTCGTGACCTTGCCAGTCGGGCAGAAGTTGACCTCGGTGTGGGGTTTTGGGGCCACCCCGAGGCTCCAGGGACGGGGCCTCCATCCCCTTGATTTCTCTGCGTGCTGGTGTCCTCTATCCCGCGCATCCTGCCCAGCCCAGCAGAAGCAGACCGGCCGCCGGCTTCTCCCACCCGCCCTCCCCGGTGCGGGGAGGAGCAGCCTGGCCCGCGTTGGCCCCTTCGCCGCTGTGTCCGCAGGGGCGGGGCAGGAGGGGCTGCTGGCCGCTTCCAGGCTGTGCACCCTGGGGGGCCCAGGGCAGGGGCGCAACAGCAGGAGGGGCGTCCGGGGCTCCCCATAGCCAGTCCCCTTCTCTGGCTGACTGTTCTAGAAGACTCTTGGAATCAGAACTTGGGCGCCTGGGAGGGCATCTGGGCCTGGGTGTGCGCGCCCCTCAGGCACAGCCCCCCACTGGGCGTGAGAGCCCCTCCAGCTCCTGCTCGGGCCGCGTCCCGGCAGCGTGCCCCAGCGCGGAGGCGACGGCTCTGGGTGGGGGGCTCTCAGGGTGAACTGGCCTCTTTTGCACTGTAACACGCTCCTTTTGGCCGACCTCACGCCCAGGCGCCCCAGCATCTGTGAGCGGGATGGATCTGGGGAGGGTCCCGCCCGGGCTGGCGTGGGTGGGCCGAGGGGAGGCGGGCTCTGGTGGGGAGCAGGCGCCCTGCTGTGCTTCCAGGATGCTGGTGGTGCGGGCAGAGGTGGTCCGAGGTCCCAGGGTGTCTGTCCGCCCCGCCTCCTGAGTGGCCCCCACCACCGCCCTGCCCCCTCACCCACCACCTGGCAGAGACGGGCAGGCCAGGACCTGCCCAGCGCACCCTCCCAGACTCTCCCTCAACATCTGGGCCACCTCGAGATGTCCTGAGTGACACAGGCATGCTTGGGAGACGCCCCAGTGTCCCCCAGCTGCGGGAACCTTGCAGGCTGCCCCACCCTGACACCCGGTGCCTTCTGCAGCCACACGCGCCGGCTTGTCAGCTCTCTGCACCCCATGTTCCAGCTCCGCCCCTGCGCCCCTCAGGAACTGGCGGCCCCAGGGGGCAAAGTGCAGGTGGGGTCTCTTGCGGGGCCTGGCACCATGAAGCACTGAGACCCAGGCCACCGCCTCGGAAGTCAGGGAGCCTTCCCTGGCCGCCCAGCCCGCAGCTGCCGGACCGGCCCTCCCCGTCCCACCGGCCGCGTCTCCCCGTGACGTCACACGTGCCGTCGGGTGGGAAGGTGGGCGCTCGGCCCCGGCCATGAGGCGGAACCTTTACCCAGACCTTTGAGAGTATTACCTATCTGGTTCAATTAAGGTGATTTTCTGTAATTGTTATTTTGGTGGGACAGTCTTTAATTTTCTAAAGACAGCGCTAACATCAGTTCGTTGGCCACTGTGCGCCTGTCCCCGCCACCCGTCCTGGCCCTGGGTGGCTGCTGTGGCAGCCCCAGCCCTGCAGCCTCCCCTCCAGCTCGGACATCAGCGGGGCCCCGAAGCCCGGTATCCGGATGGTGACCCGCTGGGTGTCCGCAAGGCGGGTGGCCTGCCCGGGAGGCCTGCAGCCGCTGGCCCTTCTCTCCAGGGAGACGTCCGGCGCCCGCGGCGTTCCTCGTGACGTTTCCAGAGGATCCGGCCGGTGGCAGTCCCCGGGAGCGCCAGAGCCCTGTCCTCCACGGGCCCGGGACAGGAGCGTGCCGCGGCGGCTGGCGGCTGGCAGCGAACAGTGCCCCGTTGCAGATCGGCGGTGCCCGCCCTGTGGGCGTGTGCGGGGGCGTCTGCCCGGGAGCCATGTGGCCATTGCCACGCGCCGTGTCCTGCCACCGTCCCGTCTGGTTTTGATCAAGACGTTACCCCTGTTTTCCTGCAAATTTGCTTCGTGCAAGCAAGTACATAAGGACCCTCCTTTGGTGAAATCGGGTTTGAATGGATATCGCAAGGCGAGGGGAGACGCATCTATTTTGAGATGCTCGGAGTGGGTGTCAGCAGCCCCCCGGCCTCAGGTGGGGCGCGGAGCTGGCCCTCAGAGACCACAGACGCAGAGAGAAGAGAAAATGTCTAAGGCATCGGGAAAGGTAAAAAAAATCTATTTTTGTACAAATGTAATTTTATCCCTCGTGCACCGGGGCGCGTGGCGGGGAGGGCGGTTCTGTTCTGCCCGGAGAGCCGAGGGAAGGCCTGGTCAGGACGTGGCCAAGCAGAGCCGCCCCAGCCGGGGCCGCCAAGGCTTCCTCCCCCGCACGGCCCGCGCCCTGCTCCGCTCCGTCGTGGCCGGCGGCCGTGGCTGGCTCCTGCGGACTGTCCGGTGCCGGGGCGCGAGGACCCGGCGTGGACTCGTGGAAGAGCAGTAGAAAAAACGTGAGGCGAAACCAGCGAAATAGGAGCGTTTAAAAATATATCACCATTCAGTTCTCGATTGTTCTGCGGGGTCTTCCTGTTTGTGCCTGGAAGTCGGCGACACCGTGGGGCCCGCCTGCCCTGTTTGCGTGCTCCCCGCGAGCCCCTCGGGGCTGGGGCCGCCCTCCGCACCCGCAGGCACCGGGCTGCCCAGGCCCAGCCCTGCATCCACATGCCCGTGGTGCTTCCTGAAACCCCTGTGCACCTCCATCTGACTGGGCACCCTCTGGGGGAGGCCCTTGGGCAGTCCAGAGCGGGGAGCGGCACCTGGAGGTGGTCCTCCTGAGGAGGGGCCTTAGCGACTGGCCATGCCCAAGGGGCACCCCTTGCCCCCCACATGGCTCCACACCAGGCAGTGGGGTGCACATGCCGTTCAGGCCCACAGTCTCGGTGCTTGCACACCCACGCACACCCAGTACGTGTCTCCCTGGGACTGGACGATGGGCTGAAGGGCCTCAGGCCCGGGGGTGTGGGAGACTGAGCGGGGCGCCCGTCTCCCCTCCAGGGCTCTGCTGGGGCGGTGGGGGTCGTCCGCAAGCTCCTCCGGGACAGAAGTGATGCCTGCCGCTGGGCCGGGGCCACCACCTTGCACGCTGGAGTGGGCTGGCTTCCTGGAGGGGGAGGAGGCCCAGGGGAGCCGGGGGCCACTGAGGGGTGCGCCGCTGCCTGCCCTCCGCCGTCATGGCTGTGTGTCCTGGTATACGCCCTTCCTTGGCCTGGGGCCCGGTGAATTCTCCCTGCTGAGGGGCTTTGTCTTGCCCCAGCCACTGCCAGCGCCACCTGGGGGCCCTCAGATCAGGGGCAGGTCCCAGCTCCGGGGTGGGGAAGCAGCAGGGCCAGCGGGAGGACTTGGGGGGCCCAGCCTGGGGTTCGCGGAAGGGGGCCCTGTGAAGCTGAGCCCCCGTCTCCGGGATGGGCCCATCTGTCCCAGCCTGGATGGACGCGGCCTCGCCAGCCCCGCCCCGGCGGCCTGCTGCCTGTGGACACCGCCGCCCTCCCGCCCCTCGGAGGCCGGCCCGCCGCAGAGGCCTCGCAGGCTTGGAGCGCCCGACTGGGCCAGCATCTAATCGGGCCACGTTCGCGTGCCCTTCAGCCGAACCCAGAGTAGGGTGGGAGGGGCTGCAGAGCCCACCCCGGGGCTCCATGGGCCCCAGGTAACCTGGGCTGCGGAGGCCGTGCTGCCCCTGCCTGCTCAGAGCCTCAGCCCCGGGCCGAGGTGCGGGCGGCACTGCCCCCTGCTGGCGGCACGGGGTATGGCCCGTCTGTCGCCCGGGGTGCGCCGCGGCTCCTGGCCCCTGGCCCCTGCGTGTGGGAGCCGGGCTTTGCAGAATCCTGGCATCCAGGCGCATTCCATCCAAAGGGGGCGGAGCTGGCACCCGCGCCTATAGATGCCCTACTGTGCGCCGCCTGGGCTGGGAAGGGGCGGCGCTGGCCACTGCGCCTGCTCCTTGCCTCGTTTCCCGCGGCTGTTGTGAAGAGGTGGTCCAGGAGGTGCTCCCAACACCCACTGCCTGCTCCTCTGGGCCGGAGGGGCCCTAGTGCTGGGCGGGACCTGGGCACAGGGTGGCCGCCCCCTCCGGGTGGCACAGGGAAGGGGGCCCAGGGAGGGCGGGATCCATATCAAGGCCCAAGAGCCTCAGAGCTGCCTGTGGGGCAGGACGGGCGCTGGGGGCTGTGCAGGGCTCAGCCCCTCCCCTCCCCCACCCTCCCGGGGCACTTCCCCACCAGGGTGGGCAGGCTGCTTCCCCAGGGAGAGGGCGGGCAAAGCAGGCAGCATTTGGGGAACACCAGCCCCCCTTCCCTGGGGGCCCCTGACCTCACTGGCGTGGCCAGCATGCTGCTTGTGACCCGCAGCTGTGAGGCGCAGCACTGGGCACCCAGGGCGCCTGGGTGGGGGCGGGTCTCCCGCCCACGCCGTGTTGTTCCTTCTGCAAGTCAGGTTCTTGGGAGCTTTGGTGAGTGGGGCCCAGGCTTGGGAGGCAAATGGGGGTTGATGGCACCTCCCCTGAGGCCCCCAGGTGGTCCTGAAGCAGCAGGCCCAGGATAGAAGCCAGCGAGGGTCCGGAACCCTGAGGCAGCAAGACCCCACGGCCCCTCCCTGCCCCTGGGCCTCAGAGGACTGGCCAGCGCCCCCCACCCCCTGCCTGCCTGAGCCGAGGGGTAGGAATCCAGGCCTGGAGCCTCCCGCCCGGCCTGGGGCTCCCGCTGCTCCCCGTGACGGTGAGTGAAGCGAGAATGGTTGCGCTCTGGCGGAGGAGCAGAGACCGGACGGCTCAGTGGACACTGCGGGGAGGGGATCAGCAAGCGAGTGGAACCCCAGCCTTGGGGTGCTCCCCACAAGAGCAGGCCCAGAGCTGGGCATAGGGGGGCTGTGCTGACCCTTCCCGCAGCCCTGGACTCTGCAGCCAGGCCAGGAGAGGGCGCGCATGAGCCCCCACCTGCTCAGGTCCCAGGCTGTGTGGAGACAGGTGGGGGCACAGGTGCTGGTGGGGAGACCTGGTAGGCTGGGGCCACCCGCCTGCTGCAGAACCCCAGGGGATGGGTTCCTTAGAGCCCCAAGGTCACCCGAGAGCCCCTGTAGGGTTGCTGCATGTGGGCAAACCCCCCCAGATACCCCCCACGGGGGATGGGGTACAGCCACTTTGGAAGGCAGTGGGCAGACACTGCCCGGCCATCTGCCCTCGGTCTCTGCCCAGCGGATGACCCGTGCGGTCCACCAAACACATACGGACATGGAAGTGACTCGCTCACGGCCACAGAACAGCGGAAGCCACAATGCCCGTCGGTGCTGAGTGATGACCAGATGGGGGCCTGCACACCTCTCAGCGGTGAGGGGAGAGGAGTTGCCACAGAAAGACAGTGTGGATCCCTCACTGGGGGAGGCTGAGGCTGCGGCTCAACTCCCCTCGCCCCGCCTTTGGGAGGAGGTTGCCTGGGGTTCTGGGCGAAGCTGTGGAGGTGAAGCGCTCAGGACGGTGAGGTGGCTCTGCGATGCCTTCCTGGGCATATGTGACACTGCCCTTGTCAGCACCTGCAAGACCTCACAGCGCAGGCCGCGGCCAGCCTCACCACAGCAAATAAAAGTCATTTAGGAGGTTGGGAGAATCTGCATGGGCTGCAGCCTGTGGCAGAACCATCTCCCTATGTCACCCACGTCCCAGACAGCCTCCACGGAGGTTGGAGACAAGGTGCTGGGTGACCTGGTAGCTCTGGGGAGCCCTGGGGCTGGGAAAGGGGGGGCTGCAGGAGCTGCAGGTGAGCCCTTCGATCCCATCCATAAGGTGCCTCCTGCTGTGACATCACAATTCCTGCCCAAGGGGACAGGGAGCTGCTGGGATCGGTCATGTGCTGAGGGGCTGGAGTTGGAGTCCTCCCTGCAAGTCCATGTCCTCCTAACGTGGAGATGTGTGCATCATACTAGGACACACGTCATTCCTACTGTCAGGAGAGAGAAAAGCAACTGCCACCTCCCGATGCCTAACCCTTGGCCTCTAGCACCATCTTCCCACGGAAGCACAGGGTCCTGGGGCAGAGTGGCTGACTCTGGGGTGGGGCAGGAAATGCATGAGGTAAGCCTAGAGCATCATGCAGGGGAGAAAGCAAGTTGACACCAGGATGTGGAAGCCCTGTCCGTGCACTTCGGACAGCTGCCCCTTGGCTTGGTTCTGCAGCAGTCCCAGGAGACGGCCCGGTCTGATAGAAGGGTTGCTGTGCAGCCAAGTGCTCATGGTCACCTGGAGGTGAGACATGAGAGGGCAGCTGGCTTATGGGTCCAGAGCTGCTGGACTGTCCACTTGGTGCCCCACTGACTGTGGTGGTTTCTTCCACTGGTCACATCAGCCCCTCTTAGGGCTCTAGAAACCCCCCCCATCCCTGGCTCTGGACACCCTCCCCTAGGTCTCCCAGAACTCCAGGCTCCACACGTGGCCAGAGAGTGTGGCTCCTCTGTTTGGGCACAAAGATTGTAAAGCTGGGTTGCAGTTCCCCGGGCCAACAGTGGGT